CCCAGCATCTTCAGTGTGACATCCGGCAAGGCCCCAGGGGTGCAAGGAGCTCTTGGATAACTTGAGGTGAGATGCTAACAGAGGCGCCAATATTTTCAAATCAGGGGGGTTTCAAATGGAGTCTGAAGGGCCAGTTCCCCGGAGGTAGCCAGTTGATGCCTCTGGGGTATGGTTTCAAATGCCCCAGAAAACCAGAGACTTGACCCCAAATCAGCCTTCATCTGGAACAGTCCAGCCACCCCTCACTGTGACTAAAGAGAAAAATGAGAGGCCACAGGTGATTCCAGAACACAGACATGAAGGGTAGAGATGCTACCTTGAGATAGGGAGGCAGGGGGTGCTTTCTGGCTCTTCCTCCCAGGCTCACAGGGTGTGACAAGAGAAGAGGAAACGTGTTAGAGATGGGAGGACAGGTTTGGAGGCCCGCTGCCTGGCTCCCCCAGCACTGCCCCTTGCAAGCTGTGTGACCTTGGGCTGATTACTTGACCTCTCAGTGCCTCCACATCCTCATGGGAAATGGGGATCATAGCAGAACTTTCCTCCCAGCACTGCCCAGGGGACTGAAGAGGGTGTGATGTGTTTGTGAAGTCATCTCGTCTTATTTCTGCTACGTATCAGCGGCGGCCAGCTCTTCACGGCACACCTCAGCCCTGACAGGGACCCCAGGGCAGCAGCCCCCACCCTGGCTGCCCCTGGAAAGACCCAGAGCCCATGTCCAGCCTGCACACGGGAGCCGGTCTTGGAATCTCTGAATGGTGCCGGGCATGGCTGGGGCAGCAACAGTCCCTAAAGCTTCCCGGGTGATTCCAAGCAATGGGCAGCCGGGGCTGACAACCGCGACCCTAGGGGTCCTAGAGACCGTCAAACCCCACAGCCGTGGTTCTCAGACTGGTCCCGCATCGCAGGCAACTAGGGGTCCTTTGAAAATGCAGCTTGCTGGGCCCCACCCCCAAAGGGGTTCTGTAGGTCTAGGGTGGGCCCGAGAATGTCTATCTAGTTCCCAGGAGACGTTGACGCAGCTGGACCAGGACCTGACTTTGAGAACTGCTGTCCTGCAGGAAAGTCTGCTTTCCCCAGCCTGGCGTTCAAAGACCAGGGAGGGCTGTCCCTTTAAGGCGCTGTGCCAGTGCCCAGAGCACCCGGAGCGCTGGGGAAGCGCCATGGCCCGCAGGATTTTAAACGGCGGAACTGGGGTGCCTCCTGGTGGAATCAGCGGGCACCGCAACCCGCTCTGGAGTCGTAGGTTGTGGGGGCAACGGGAAGGGTCGTCATCTGCGGCCCCTCTTCCCTCCTGGCAGTTCTGGGACGTGGCCACATTCCCAGGAGTCTGGGGATCGCTCATCTCCCGCTTAAGCAGGCGGAGGGGCCAAGATACGTTCAGCCTCTAGAGGAAATGATCTGGACCCCAGGATGCTTCGCGGTGGGGAGGGGGTGGGGAGAGGGGAAAAAGGGAAGGAATGAGGGAGGGTCTGGGGTCTGGACCCCAGGATACCTTGGCCTCACCCTCGGGGGAGGACCATTCCGTCCCTCCCCTGGGACCGGGAGGGCCGATTTTTCGAGGGGGTCATAGAGTAAGACAAACGTGGGTTGGAGCTTCCTTCCTTGCCTCTCTGAGCCTCGATTTCTCTATCTGGGAAATGGGGGTGAAAACCTGCCTTCATCCTCTTCCCTCCTTCATTCTGCCCTCCTCTCTACAGAACCAAATAAAGACGCACAGACATATACATTTGAATGTGTCCACCCCCAGATCCACACAGACACACACACCCACACACACACACACACACACACACACACACACACACACAAACCTCAGCCTGCCAGTCACCTGGTCAGCTGAAATTACGCTCCTGAAAACTCTTCACCCACTTCCTGCCATCCCCACTACCCTGAGCCAGTCCAGCCTTAGGCCTGTCCGCCAGGTTCCTGCCCCAGCCTCCTCCTGCTCCAGCCTTGCACCCTGCACACGGCAGACCTAAAGCACAAACCTCTCCCTCTCCTGCTCAAATCCCTTCCATGGCTCCCCAGCGCTTAACGAGGCCCTAAGGCCTTGCCAGTCTGCACGCCCTACTCCAGCGACCTCTTCATGCTCATTTGCTGCCTCAGGTGAAAATCCAGCCAGACAGCACCACCATGGGGGCAGGCGGCCTTCTTTGGCGTCACTGCCTCCGCTCCACGGGAGGGGTAGTAATTACACGCTAATAACCCCCTATAGTCATATCCTTGGCTTAGGGCTTTTGCCTTGGCTCTTCCTACACCCGGGTCATGCACTTCCCTCAGGCATCCGCCGGCCGCACCTCCTTCGGGTCTTTGCAACATTGAGAGACCCTGTCTCTACAAAAAATACAAAAAGTAGCGAGGCTTGGTGGTACGTGCCTGTGGTCCCAGCTACTCCAGAGGGAGGCTGAAGTGGGAGGATCGCTTGAGCCCAGCAGTTCGAGGCTGCAGTGAGCCGTGATGGCGCCACACTTGTCATCTTCTCAGTGAGGGCTTCCCAGGCCGCCCCCTTTATGACGACTGTAAACCCTCTCCTGTCCCGGTCCTCCTCGGGCCCCTGCTTGCCGGACTTTTGTCCCCATCAGGTCTCATCCCCTAATGCATGGATTTCGTCCTCATCTAGGGAGCGTAACCCCAGCCTCCCCACCGCATGCTCCCTGCGGGAGGGTCCTGTTTCCTGCACCTAGAACAGGGCCTGGGACGCACCTGCCCTGGATAAATCTCATGGACTGCGCGGATGGCGCTGCGGGCTCCTCCCGGACTGTCGCCTTCTCTCCCAGGAGGGGGCAGCTGCGCTCCGCTCCACCCGCCGCCAGAGGCTCCACGCGCGGGACAGACCGGCTGCTGCCGCCTGTGCTGGTTGGTCTCTGTGCGCCGGGACCCTTCCCTGCGGGACCTCAAGGCCTTTACGCGGCTGCTTCTTCCACCGCAAACGCTCCTCCCCATCCCCTCGGGAACACTCCCTTCAGGAATGAGGGAATGAAAACAATGTTTCTTTCCAGCACATTCCCCACCAGGCGTGTCTGGGGTCTGACTCCCCCAGTCCGCGTGGTTCATTCCGACCGTCAGTCATTCAACAAGGAACAGCAGCCGCCGCGTGCCAGGCACGGTGCTGGGGCTGTGGACACGAACGGGACAGGCCAAGAGCCACTTTCTCCCTACTGAGCTGGCCCTCAGCCGCTCTGCGGCGCCTCTCCCCGCCACGCCCACCTGCCCCCATGCCGCGTAGGTCCCCACAGTCACAGCTCAAGGTCCTCTGCAGGGGCTGCTGCTGCTGCGACACCACGGGGCGCTGGGGGGAGTTGGAAAGCAGGAGGAAAGGGACGCCATAGGGGGGAATGTTGGGGCTACCGTGGCAGCAGCAGCTGGCAGTCACTGCGGTGAACCAGGGGCTCCCGGGTCCCGCCTCAAGCAAGCCGGCCGCCTGCGTGGAACTTGGCAGTGCTACACCCGGGCTCTGACCAGCAGCATTCCCCACGTGGCTCCTCCAGCCCTCGGGAGGGAGCAGCTCCCTGCATTGCTAATACTGGGACAAACCGACGCCCCTGTTTTTGCACTTCCTGATTGCAATACCCCAGTCACCAATTTCCTCTATCAACCTCCCTGACAAGTACAGTCGGTGCGCTACTGAGAAACAAATGAGTGTGCCAGGGGGCAGTCAGAGCTCTGAAAAATAAAGGGAGGAAGTGCAGAAAGGGTTACTTTTTTTTTTTTTTTTTTTTTTGAGACGGAGTCTTGCTCTGTCACCCCGGCTGGAGCATAGCAGTGCAATCTCGGTTCACTGCAACCTCTGCCTCCCAGGTTCAAGCAATTCTTCTGCCTCAGCCTCCCAAGTAGCTGCGATTACAGGTGTGTACCACCACATCAGACTAATTTTTGTATTTTTAGTAGAGACAGGGTTTCACCGTCTTGGCCAGGCTGGTCTTGAACTCCTGACCTCGTGATCCACCCGCCTCGGCCTCCCAAAGCGCTGGGATTACAGGCGTGAGCCACCGTGCCTGGCCTGCCAGAAAGGGTTACATTTTTATAGGTGGTCAGGGAAGCCCTCCCTGGGAATGTGACATTTGAAGAAAGGTCTGAATGTCTTGAAGGTGGGAGCCACGCCTATAGCCTGAGGAAAGGCACTCCAGGCTGCAGGAAGAGCAGTGCAAAGGCCCTGAGGCAGGAATATGCCTGGTGTGCCCTGGAGACCTGGGTGGCTGAAGCCACAGGAGACACAGAGAGGGCAGTGGGAAACGAGGCAGAGGGTGAGATGGGTGTAGAGTGTGTAGACCTGAGCTGTGCAGGAGAGCTGTGTGCAATGGTGGCAATGTCCCACAGCAGCGCTGTGCAATGTAGTAGCCACTGGCCACGTGTGGCTCTTGAGCACTTGTGACGTGGCTGGGAAGACTGAGGACATGGATGTGTAATTTTATTTAATCTTAATTACATTTAAATCTAATTTATCCCGTGCAATTACCTAGTTGAACAAAGCATGTTGTTGAACAGACCTCAGTTGAACAGACCCCAGGTGTGACTTCTGAGAGGACGCCTCTGGCGACCATGTGTGGTGGGGGGACACGGGATGGAGGGAGGCAGAAAACTCAGGTAGGATGGAAGGCTGAGGCTGAGGTCCAGGGCACAGGCTAGGGGTGGAGGCTGGGGGGTGGGTACATGCAGCTGTGGCCTCGCAGAGTGTATCTGGGTGGAAGCTATGGTGGTGATTGGCTGGGCAGGGTCTCCATGGATGTCCAGGGGCTTCTGAGCTGAGGCTGAGGCCTGAGGCTGGAAGTGGGGAGGTGTCAAGGGTGGGAGTGGAAGCTGGCTCAGATCTGCAAGGGGTGAAATGCTGCTGCTGGGTAGGGAGAGTCAGGCAGGGAGCCTGAAGCAGCAAAGGACAGTGTATGTAAACTAGTGACAGGACAGTTCCCAGATGTTCTGGGCAAACCACAGTCAAGACTGTGGACATCTGTGGCCCACGCTCCCACACTCCCCCTGTCCCATCGCCCAGAGCACAGAGAGAGCACAGTGCTGAATTTCACTTTACTGGATGATCCAGGTGACACAGTGCACAGGGACAGAAGTTTAGGACCGCTACGGGAGAAGCACACCTGGGGCCCTCTCCACCCACAGGCAACACCACAGGCTGCTGTGACCAGCTCTAGGCGCACCTGGCCTGGTCCTCAGTGGGTGGGTCGCCGTCCAGGAACAGCCTCCAAGCAGGGAGGAGCACCCACGCCCTGCAGCAGGTCTCAGACAGCATCTGCATCTGGGTGTCCCTGACATGGGACTGGGACAGTCTGGTCCGGGCTCTGAGGTCACACCCAGGCCCCCCTATTCCTTTCCAGAGACAAGCAGGGCAGGGCGCCCTGGCATGATGGGTTCCTCACTGCCAAGGGATAGAAATTAGGACGAGGAAACACACACATTACCCTAGGGACAAGAAGGCATGAACGAATGTGGGGTCCCGTGGAGACTGATATTTAGGGAAAAATCAAGCTCAGCAGGGGTTGGGGGAGCTGAAGCATACGGTACAGCACGGCATGGCGCGGACTCACACACAACTCAAGCTTGCTTGGGACAGCAGGTGGTGAAGCCTCACAGCACTGGCCGCCTACTCTGGAAGCTCTGGGAAAGGGCTGGGGTTTCCTCCCCAGGTCATTTCATCCCCTGTAAGGAGGGACACGTGGCCAGCTTCTGCACTGCCCAGGCGAGCCTCTGTCCCTCACAGTGCCCTTCAGAGGCCCCTCTGGCCTTTAATTCACTCAGGGGGTGAACCCAGGCATTTTCAAGGCCTTTAGTAAGGGCTGCAAGGCCAGCGCTGAGCGGTGGGCCAGCTCCAGAGGATAGAGAGGACCAGGGGAGCCACAACCTATGGGAGGGGGCAAGGGCCCACGCAGCCCAGAAGAGCCAAAACTCTGGATTTTATGTGAATTACCCCAAATGGAACACCTCCGCAAATAATTCGAATGTTGGGAAACACTGCAGTTTGAGTGACAAATTCAACTTGTGGTCAGGGGCAGGTGGCCTTGGCCTGGAGCTGGTTCCTTTGTATCAGGGGCTTCCGGGTGGGCAGGGCTGGCATGGTCTTCCCTCTGCTCTTCCTCCTCCCACTCCTCCTCCTCCTTCCCTTCCCCCACCGTTCCTCTCCCCTTTCCTCCTCCTCCCCTTCCCAACCGCCTTCCATCTCGCAGACTGTCCTTTCTGGAATCATCTCTTCCCCTGGCTGGGAGCTGGGGCCTCCCCTGGCTGAGAGTTGCGCCCTGATACGCGCTGCGCGGCTGGTGACCGAGTCTCCACCACAGACCCAGGGCAGAGTCAGACTGGGGTAGGGGCGACAGCGGCCGACAGTCCCTCCCAGGCGCAGGCCCCGAGAGCGCCACGAAGAGCCCTGCTCGCCTCTGCAGGTGCCTGGCGTCCACACACACACCCTGCGGGGGCGACCCGGGCCCCCCAACCCTGGTCCACTCAGCGCGTCCCCATCTCGGCCCTGGGCTGCTGCCTCAGGTGCCCACTTCTCCTTCCTCCTCCCATCCGGGCTTCCTCCGTCGGGATCGCTGGCGCCCCGAGCCCACGAGGGCCCGAGAGGGGAACGTGACGCCGGCAAAACGCGGCCCGGGCGCGCGGTGAAGCGAGGAGATCGCGTCTGCGGAGGGCAGGAAAAGGGAAGGGGATGGCGGGAGCCACACTCGGGCAGGCGCCCTGCGGGGCCTGCTCGCAGCCTGGGCGGCTTCCTGGGGGGCCACTAGCGGCATTTGGGGGGCAGCCTCCGGCCCCGACGGGCCTTCTTCCCGCGTGCGGCCTTGGATCCAGCGGGCGCCTGGCCCTTGGCCTCGCCTGCCCTGGCATTGGCCCCGGCGCCCGCGCTCCCCTTCTTCTTCCGGCTTCCAGCGGCGTCGTCCTGGGCCGAGCCCCGGCTCCCGGCTTTCTTCTCCGGAGTGACGCCCCGGCCTCGGCCTCGGCCGCCCCCGCGGGTTTTGCGGGCCCCGGACGCGGTGGGGGGCGCGCCGGCCGGAGTCAGGCCCCTGGGGGCGGTGCGCGCCCTCTTGGCCCGGGGCTTCCTGGACGCCCTGTCCTCGGGCTCCGACGCCTCGCTCTCGGTGTCCTCCGACTCCTCCTCGGACTGTTCGTCCGAAGCCTCCTCTGACCCCTCGTTGGACCCCATGTTCTCCCGGGCGGCCAGGAGCGCCAATACCTCCCCCAGTTTGCCTTTGGGGTATTTGTACTTCCCGCCTTCCCAGGCGTTTTCTTTTTCCTCCTTCATCACCTCCGCCATGTCCTGGGCAGCCAGGAGCGCCACCAGCTCCAGAAGGCCCCCCTCGTCCTCACTGTGCTCGCTCCAGCCCCCGAAGAGGCCACACCCAGCCTTCTTCGCCTGGGGAGGGAGATCTGGCTGCGCCAAGGTGGAAATGCACTCCCGGAGGTCCCCGTCGTCCCCGGCCTTGCGCAGGACCACGGCGTCCACCTCGCGGCCCGCCTCCTCCACCTTCACGCGGGTCCCGTTAGTGTCCTTGGACATAACGGACAAGACCTGTCGGAGGGGGTCTCGCTTGTCTTTCTCGTCGCTCCAGCCTAGAGACTCGATAACAGAAGCGATTTTCAACATCTCCTCCCGGGCCCAGGGGTCCGACGGGTCGGTATAGGCCACAATGGCCACGAACTCAGGGTTATCCAACCCCTCTGTTTCTTGGTCCTCACTTTCCTGCGAGTCGCTCTCCGAAGCGTCGCTGTCCACCGGCTCCTCGTCCGGGGTGTCTCTCACAGCCAGCAGGGCCACTAAGTCGGGGACGCCATTTTTGTCTTCTTTGGTGTTCAAGCGGATGGATTCGGCCCCAGCTGGCTCCTTCTCTGCCTCTTCTTTCTTCGCTTTGTCGGTGACAGTGACCAGAGCCAAGAACTCCCGGGGACCATCTTCCCCTTCCGAGCTGCAGGGCGCCCACTGCCTAACCAGCTCCCTGGCAGCCGCCTGGAGCGTGGCGTACAGCGCACTCTGGTCCTCGTCTCCGCTCAGGTCCCCCTGGTCGATCTCCTCGATCACGATGCCCAGGCTCTCATCGGAAGAGTCCTCAGCCTCACTCCTCGCGGAAGCAGACGGCCGCCCTCCTCGGCTTCTCTTCTTGCCCTTCTGGGTCAACCTGTTGCGTCTGGTTCTGTTTCTACGACCCCGACGGCCCCTCCTTGCGTTCCTGGCTGCCCCAAGAGGCGAGCCAGCCTGCCCTGTCACCTCCCCAGAATCCTGGGCCTGGGTCTCCGAAGCTGGAGGGGTGGGCGCCTCCCCGGGGGTCCCAGCCTCCGCGACCTGCGTGGGTCCGTCATCCAGCAGCAGGCGTCTCATCTGCCTCAGGACCCTCGTGTCCTGCGCACGGTCCTTCCACAGAACCCTCCAGACCCCGTCCTTGCCTGGGATCTCCCTGGGAATGGCAGCGTGATTGACGTCCTCCACAAACTCCACCAGGGCGGCCTGGGCCTTCTCGTTCATCAAGCCCTTCATGTGTCGCAACCTGAACGTGCCCAGGGGCAGGAGGGTCGGCTGCAGGACGGCTTCAACGTCTGCCTGCTCCAGGCCCTCCGGGATGCCGGTGACCAGCAGGGCCCTGTGCGCGTCCACGTCCAGGCTCCGGCACCAGTCCTGCAAAATGCTCATGGCCATGGTGCCGCCCCCTCGGTGCTGATCTTGGAGCAGGAGGGAGCCCGAGATAGGGGTGGGCTGCAGCGCAAGGTGTCAATGCAACCCTGGAAAGCCACCTGCAGGGCTTAGAGTCCCGGTTCCGGTGAATGTGGCAAGCCTGGAGTGGGGCTCGGGCCTCGGGGGTTCTAGCTGCCTGCTGGCCGGCTGGACGCAGTGACCCTCCCCCGGGACCCCTCTCCAGAGCTGTCTGAGGATCCGCAGGGGGCTTACGTGTCTGCTTTCCAGGGCAGCTCCCTCCCTCTCTGACAGAGGCCTGTGTGACTCGGCACTGCAACCAGGTGCAGGGGGGCGGCGCCGAGTGCACCTGGAGGGGCGTGGGAGGTGGGAGCCGCAGCTTGCCTGGCGCTCGCGCGGCGTCTGAGCGCGCACCCTGGGCCTGAATCTCAGCAGTTCCGCTGCGACGCGGCTGCTCCGACCTGCGCCTGCGCAGACGGAGTCGCACGCCCTCCCCTGTCCCCCGCCCAACCGTCTCCATGGCAACGGTGCAGCCTTGAGCTGGGGTCTGCGTCGCTGTGGCCTGAGACGCTTCCCTTAAAGGTCCCGATGAGAAGGACTTGGGGCCTGGAAGCACCACTTTCATTAACCAGCAAAAAACGCCGAAACCACAGAGGGCCAGAAATCATTCGAGGCGACCCGACCTCATTCAGGGGATATGAAGCCTCCTTCCAGGGGGTACAGGCTTCACTGGGGGTTACAATTCCCCCTTCCAGTGGCCAGGTGGAATTCAGGATTATATAGGCCTAAATCAAGGGGCACTGGCCTTGTAGCGTGGGACCACGACTTACTCGGGATACTGGCCTCATTCACAGTATACGGGTCTCAGTATCAAATAGGGGGGCCCGGGCGCCATCTGTGAGCAAGACACCATTCAGGGTATATGGGCCTCACTTGCAGGGTACAGGCCCCACTCAATGGCACCCGCCCTCACTCCCACACACGTTCTTGTATTCTGAACTATGCTACACTTTCCTGTATTCTGAACTCTGCATGCACAATAAATCCTGTGGTTTTGCACACGCTTTGAGCATATGTATGATTGTTAGACCTGCCATGAATTTTGCAAGAAAGCATTTCCCTTGACAGGGGCAGCAGACTGGGGCCTGTGAACGTCAGTCATAGCTACTATAAACATGCATTTGCTTCTCTGTCCCTTGTTGGCCATAAGGCTGTCCCCTACTCTATATGAATCTGGCTCTGTAGCCCAGCTGGTAGGTTTATATCTCAACCATCGTCCCTACCTCAAAGAGTTTTTTTGTTTTGTTTTTGTGGTGTTTTGTTTTGTTTTGTTTTTGAGATGGAGTCTTGCTCTATCATCCAGGCTGGAGTGCAATGGCACCATCACGGTTCACTTCAACTTCCACCTCCCAGGTTCAAGCGATTCTCCTGCTTCAGCCTCCTAAGTAGCAAGGATGACAGGCCTCCCAAGTAGCTGGGATTACAAGCACACACCATCACATCTGGCAAATGTTTGTATTTTTTGTAGAGATAAGTTTTCACCATGTTGTCCAGGCTGGTCTTGAACTCCTAACCTCAAGTGATCTGCCCGCCTCAGCCTCTAAAAGTGCTGGGATTACAGGATTACGTGGTGAGCCACCATGCCTGGCCTCAAAGGGTTCTCATGAGGATTAAAGGGAATAATCCAGGAAAGCATTTGGAAGAGAGGCTGGCCCACAGCTGGTGCTCCATGAAAGATGGCTAAGAGAATTATTTATTGAGAACTTACCATTATAAAAGCATCTGTTCTGTTGGTTTGTTTGTTTTTGAGATGGAGTCTTGCTCTGTCACCCAGGCTGGAGTGCAATGGAGCAATCTCGGCTCACTGCAACCTCCACCACCCAGGTTCAAGTCATTCTCCTGTCTCAGCCTCCCGAGTAGCTGGGACTACACGCATGCACCACCATGCCCAGCTAGTTTTGTTTTGTTTTTGTTTTTGTTTTTTTGTTTTGTTTGTTTGTTTGTTTTGAGACAGAGTCTCGCACTGTCACCCAGGCTGGAGTGCAGTGGCGTGATCTTGGCTCACTGCAACCTCCGCCTCCTGGCTTCAAACCATTCTCCAGCCTCAGCCTCCCAAGTAGCTGGGATTACAGGTGACTGCCACCACGCCCAGCTAATTTTTGTGTTTTTAGTAGAGACAGGGTTTCACTATGTTGGGCAAGCTGGTCTCAAACTCCTGACCTCGTAATCCACCTGCCTCAGCCTCCCAAAGTGTTGGGATTACAGGTGTGAGCCACCGCACCCGGCCTACTTTTGTATTTTTAGTAGATGGGTTTTCACCATGTTGGCCAGGCTGGTCTTGAACTCCTGACCTCGGGTGATCCACCAGCATCGGCCTCCCAAAGTGCTGGGATTACAGGCATGAGCCACCGTGCTCAGCCCAAGGCATCTGTTAATAAACAAATAAATAGGAAACCAAAACACCTCGAGTTTTTTTTTTTTTTTTTTTTGGCCACCAGACCCACCCCCCTACTGTTGTGTTTGGATTTTTTTACGTTTAAGGACAGTTTAATTGCAAGGTTACCATGGCAACTGGGCAAACTGCTCACTCACTCCCATTTTCCACCACTTTTTCCTCCTCTGATCTTCCTGATCCACAGATAGATGTGATGTGACTGTTGTCTCCAGAGCAGCATTGTCCAGCAGGAATGGAATGCCAGCCCCAAATTCGAACTGCATGTGTAATGTTAAAATTTCTAATTGCGGCCAGCCAACACTGACCTCAGGTGATCCACCCACCTCAGCCTCCCAAAGTGCTAGGATTACAGGTGTGGGCCATCACGCTCAGCCCAAAGTGTCATTTTTGACATGTGAATCTCCAATCTAGGCTGGGCACGGTAGCGCACGCCTGTAATCCCAGCTACTCGGGAGGCTGAGGCAGGAGAATCGCATGAACCTGGGAGGCAGAGGTTGCAGCGAGCTGAGATTGAGGGAGACAGAGGGAGACGCTGTCTCAAAAAAAAAAAAAAAAAATTCGAGTTGCTTTTTCTACATCTATTGATAAGAAAGAAAGAAAGAAAGAAAGAAAGAAAGAAAGAAAGAGAAAGAAAGAAAGAAAGAAA